CTAGCTTAAAATGCACGGCCAGGCACGCGGCAAGTGCCAGAATGTAGAATGCGGAGTGTAGAATGCATGCGTATCCTCAAGATACATTGACGCCGGCACACGGTTATGTAAATGCAAATGCGAGCGCATGGCTGCTGGGCAATTTAACACCACGCAGGTGGCAAAATACAAGCTGCAGTGAGTGCATATGAAAAACAGAAGCCCCTGAGATACCCTTTCACAATCATGTATTATAGATATTCAATACGCTAAGAACTTATAAAGAGATTTCTGAAAATATTAAAGATAGATAGTCGTGTAAACTATTGATGTATGAATATATATTTTAACTCCCAACCTCTTTAGCATCTTTTCAAAAAGAATGTGCAATCAAAATCCCTTGGCAACTGCTGCAAAGTTTCAGCTTGACTTCAGAGGATAAATTCAAGTGGTGGCTTTAGTTTGAGTTGTCGAGCGATCGGGGATTCCCAGCAGCTTGGCAGGCGGGACTAAGGGTCGTTAATTTTAAATGCGCAGCTCGGGGATAAATGCATCCTGGGCGGCAGTCACGACAGGTGCCTGCTGTTGACGTAGACGTTGATTTTATTCACTGCTGACAGCAACAGTTTGCTGCTGGCGAACATGCCCGACCACGCCCCTCTTCCTTTCAGCCTTCGTCCTTCGACGGCATTGTATGTGTGTGTGAAGGACATGCCCGAAAGTGGGAAACACAAAAACCTTCCGGCATGGCTGGCAGTGTGTATGCAAGAGCTGCTTTTTGTAGCAATTTTTACATTTTAGCCCTACCATCATTATTAAAAATAAGAGATGCCTCCCCTGCTTTGCATGCTCTAAATGGATTATTCAAAGCCTGGCCCATAAATCGTGCTGGGCCTTCAAAAAAATCCACAAGTGGGTTGCACGTCCCTGGCTGAAGCAATAGCACTTCCAGATGGCATCCAACCATTCCGCCATCCAACTATCCAAGTGAAATGCAATGAATTGCGACAGACCCTCTTTTTCCCCCAAAAAACATTTCCTTTTATTTTTCCACCACTTATCGATGCTTGTTGCACGTCCATGGAGCCACAACAATTTCGGTGGAAAGCTGTTTCCAATCTCTCGGCCCCTTTTGGCCAGCCACTGCATTTGGCTATTTTCGTTTTCGCCTTGTTTATTTATGTTTCTTGCCACCCTATATACCCATTGCCATTCATTCGGCTATCTGGCATTCAGGGTCCAGTTCCATTAGCCATAGGAATTGTATGCTGTGCACGTTTTGTTGCCACGGCGGATTTATTTTCCAGTTTCAGCACAGTCAGGTTTTTTTTGGTTCGTTTGGATCCATTTCAGTCTGCCCTGTTAAATTGGCGCTAAAAAGGTGGAGCTTATCTAATTAATCTGGCTAACCATTGGCTCAGAGATTCAACTCCAATGAAGCTGAAGTAAGATTCAATTAGAGAAAGTTAAGGAAAAAGTTTTTGCCTCCGCCAAAAAAGACTTTCATTTATGAAAACCTCTAAGAGGTTAAAAATACTTAAGGCGAATTTATCAGCTGATGCCGCATCTGCAGCCGATTGCTTTTGGCCGTATTTTCGTGCTCTTAGCCATTTCAATTCGCATTCCCGGTCGCGACGTACAGCCTGCAGAAATATGCAAATTTAGTTCGGCAAACAATCGCGCAATTAATTGGAAATAATTGCGGAATTCTTAGTGCAAGCAAGCGGAGAAAATATTTATGAATTTTTGATTACAATTTGCGGTGAATGCGTTGTGGGAGATGCAATTTCGGAGAATGATTTCAGCAGAAGCTAGTTTTCCACTTCACTTCATCCTAACGAGCTTGCTATTGGTTTTCCTAGGATGCCACGGAGAAAGGACGAATGTGGGTGAGTGAAGTGCGCTTTTCTTGGCATTACATAAGCAGGAATTTTGCAGCGCAGCATGCAAATGTGTCATGTATTTTTATGCCGCATACGCACCGTTTGCCGATGGCGACGGCGAATTTGCGAAATAAAAATATAAACAGAACCCACTGAGCAAAACAAAGAGCGAAAGAATCGTGTCACTCTCACAAATGGATTCTTCTGCTTTCAGGTCTCGTCTACGAGAACACCGAACCGGATCTCGAGAAGATCTTTCATTTGGCCATTAGCGAGGCCAATAAGGAGAACGAGGACCTGCAGCTGCACGGGGTGTCCGTCACCATCGAGCCGGGAAACTCCTTCGAGACCTCCAAGAAACTCTGCAAAATGCTAAGGGTGAGTTGGGATTGTAAATTCTATTAATGACACACTGAACAGAAAAATTACTTAAATAATAGTAGGTTTACTAGGACATTCTAAGTTTTAGATAGAGGATCTTTGTTTCATATCTAATATTTTTGACAGCAGTCTATAAACTACAAATGAAAGAGTGGATATAGTTTAGGCTCCTGAAACTAGTATTTGTTGAGTTAATATTTTCTAACAAAACAATACTAACATACGAAATTAGTATTATTTTCATAAAAATGCGCAATTAATTGAGAGTGGTAAAGAACTATATTTTAAACTCTGGTCCTAAAAATATACCTTGAGTAAGTTTAATTTTAAGATTGGGGTTTTAGATTGAAGTAAGCATAATGTACTGTATCACATAAAACCTGTTTCATCTTGACTACTAATTATCATACTGCAGTTCGATGTAAATATGGAATACTTGCTAAAAAGCATAACATAACATATACCATATAAGTAGTACAGAGTATTTTGTAAGCTATTTTTCAAATCCCAGTAAAGCATTGTGTAAAACATGCCTAAACAAAGCTAATTTTTCGCGTGTACTAAAACCATTATTTTCCACTTATCCGCAGCAAAATCTGGTGGCCGTGTTTGGGCCCACCTCGAACCTGGCCGCCCGTCACGCGATGAGCATCTGCGACGCCAAGGAGCTGCCCTTTCTGGACACGCGCTGGGACTTCGAGGCCCAGCTGCCCACCATCAATCTGCACCCACATCCGGCCGCCCTGGGCGTGGCCCTGCGGGACATGGTGGTGGCCCTGGGCTGGGAGAGCTTCACCATCATCTACGAGACGGGTGAGTATCTGGCCACCGTGCGGGAGCTGCTGCAGATGTATGGCACCGCTGGACCCACGGTCACGGTGCGTCGCTATGAGCTGGATCTGAATGGGAACTACCGGAATGTACTGCGACGTATACGTAATGCGGATGATTTCTCGTTCGTGGTCGTGGGCTCGATGGCCACTCTGCCGGAGCTGTTTAAACAGGCCCAGCAGGTAGGTCTGGTGACCAGTGACTACCGCTATATCATTGGGAACCTGGACTGGCACACCATGGACCTGGAGCCGTATCAACATGCTGGAACCAATATCACGGGTCTGCGACTCGTTTCGCCGGAGAATGAACAGGTGCAAGAGGTGGCCAAGGCGCTGTACGAAAGCGAGGAGCCCTTCCAGAATGGTAAATCAAAAAAAATATAAAAAAAAGAATAATGACAGTCCGACCCACCTGAAAGTGTCGTCGTGGCCCTGGGATCTAGACAATTTATGCAAATCCGAAATCCATTCGCATGAGTGAATTTAAATAATTGAATTGCACTGCCATGGCCCCGACGGAAAGGGAGGGGCGATTGTGGGGCGGAAATGATAAACGACGTTATCCTTTATGGCTCTCGCCCACCCACAGTGTCCTGCCCCCTGACCAACAGCATGGCCCTGGTCTACGATGGCGTCCAGCTGCTGGCCGAGACCTACAAGCATGTGAACTTCCGGCCCGTGGCCCTCAGCTGTGGCGATGACAGCGCCTGGGACAAGGGCTACACTCTTGTCAATTACATGAAGTCGGTGAGTCGATGCATCAGGAGAAAATATAATAAGAGATAAATACATTTGACATTAGAAAACATGAATATGTTTATTAAAATTAATCCAAATTATTTAATATTAAGAGTTCTGATTTAACTAAACTAACTAACAAGTTTGGTACTTTTTTGATATTAACGAAAATATATGTGTTATTGCTAAATAATTAGATTATATCATTTTATTGAGATATCTTTACAATTCAATGAAGATATTAATATATTCCAGATGCTATTTTATATATTTATGAAGTACATTATTTTCAAAGTATTTAAAACTAGTGAAATTTCGAAATATATTTAATTTATTAATTTTCAGATATTCCAGTTGTAATTCCTTTATTTACTTACACTCATTTCCAAAGTATTATATCACTGAGTATTTAAATGTTTTTGATTTATTTTTGGTTAATCATTTTATATTTATTTTCTCTTTAACCTTTACATGCTTATGGTAAATCCATTTAAGGTATCTATACAACCTTTTAAAGGTATCTTTGCTAAGGTGCATATTTTGAATTTTAAAATATTTGATAAGGATGTGATTTTACCATCTTCCTTTATATGCCAAAGATTTTTCTGTGTATGAATAACTGGCTGGTTCTGAATAACCCATGCAACGAGTCTCGCTCCACAGCTAACGCTGAATGGCCTCACGGGTCCCATTCGCTTTGACTACGAGGGACTGCGCACGGATTTCGAGCTGGAAGTCATCGAGCTGGCCGTTTCGGGGATGCAGAAAATTGGCCAATGGAGCGGCGAGGATGGCTTTCAGGAGAATCGCCCGGCCCCGGCGCACTCCTTGGAGCCGGATATGCGTTCGCTGGTGAACAAAAGCTTCGTCGTCATCACGGCCATTGTGAGTAGAGGGCAAACGCCAGGGGCTAAGCTCCGACCTTGACTTTCCTTCTATACCATATCTTTTCATACCCAAAAAACACACAGAGTGAACCCTATGGCATGCTGAAGGAGACCTCCGAGAAGCTGGAGGGCAACGATCAGTTCGAGGGCTTTGGCATCGAGCTAATCGACGAGCTGTCCAAGAAGCTGGGATTCACCTACACCTGGCGCCTCCAGGTGGACAACAAGTATGGCGGAATCGATCCCAAAACTAACGAATGGAATGGCATGTTGAGGGAAATAATGGACGGAGTGAGTTTGGTTAAGTTGAGAACATAAATCTAATCCACATCCGCTGCTCTGCGGCCATTTAAATCAGTTAGCTTATCCCACGTTCGTCCTGTGTGGATATTGATTTACATTGAATGGCCATAAATGCTGTCATCATCGTTAACGCTATCGTTAATACTGCCATAAACGGCAGACTACTTTCTGAGTGCCTGTGGCCTCAATTGCCTCAACTTAATATTGTTAATAGTTAACCGATTACTCTGTTTTTGCCCTTGGGGAACAAAATAAATATCTTAATTTCATTTTCAAGCTTTCAAAACATCAAGTTTAATAAGTCCATAAAGGCATTTAACACATCATATTAATATTTAATTAGTTTACTGGGCGTTAAAGCAGTATGTTATAGATATGTTTTAAATTCTTCATGGTGAGACAGCTGAATTGGTGCCATGAATTGCTTGACCTTCCTGCTTTTGATTGAACAGAGATAATACATATCGGGTGCCGACTCTGCCCAAGAAATTTCCGAATATAGATCCAATTGTTCCTCCCTGTGGTGGTACTCCATCTATCAAAACTGTCCGGAATTCTCTGTAGTTATGGATGAATCTGTCAAATTGTTGCTTATCGTTTTCTGACAGAGAAACAGCATTTGGGTAGCGAAGATAAAAGGAAATCAGATCCGGAATATTTTTTTCCTTAGTTAAGTCATTCACAATGGGATTATGATAGATTTCGAGTATATGATTTCTTTGGGCGTCATAGTTTTGACAGTCTATGTCAGCACTGACTGAATAAACGATACTCAAGATTAAGGCTAGAAAACTGCTAAAGTAGAACACCATAGCTTGGTTGATTGGTAAGAACTGAAATTTTGTTTCCCGAGAAATGAAATTTATAGGAAGTCTCAAATTTTTTTCTAGAATTTATACTACATAAGGTATTTAAAAACAATTCCTGATAACTTTAAACGATTAATAAATGTCAATTCATTTTATTTAATTTCGATTTCATGGAAAAACTGAAGCAACACATTCAGTTTTAATCAATATTCAACTGAATTTCCATCTGAAGCGAGACAAACATTTTGACTTTATTGAAAGCTTAAAATATATAACATTTTTTTATTTTCTCGTTGTATATTAAAATGCATAATTCAAAGATTGCTCTATTACTACGCTCAATCGGGCGTATGCGCAATATTTACATATGCATTTAAATTTCTATTTATAAATGCATGCGTTCGTGCATGTAAAAAGGCCATACAATAATCTTTCATATTTAATTAGCGTGCTGACATGGGCATTACGGACCTGACCATGACATCGGAGCGGGAAAGTGGCGTGGACTTCACCATACCCTTTATGAGCCTGGGTAAGAGTACTACAAAATATCGATGCTAGTTAACTAATAAAATAAATATTACACTCATTTTATATTAGCTTATCACAATTTTAATTAATAAAATGACAACAAAACCATTTTACAATATAAAATGATATTGCTAGAACCAAACCCATTTTAGGAATGGCTTACATTTACATTGTAATTATAATAATAATATAATATAAAATCCGGACTCTTTGCTTCAAAGAAGAAAAGCAATGAGATTTTCAAACAATATTTATTAATCTACAATATTTTCCAGGAATTGGCATTCTATTCCGCAAACCCATGAAGGAACCCCCGAAGCTGTTCTCCTTCATGTCACCGTTTTCGGGAGAAGTGTGGCTCTGGCTGGGTCTGGCCTACATGGGTGTATCGATAAGTATGTTTGTGCTGGGACGCCTTTCTCCGGCAGAGTGGGATAATCCGTATCCCTGTATCGAGGAGCCAACTGAACTAGAGAATCAGTTTAGCTTCGCCAACTGTCTGTGGTTCTCCATTGGAGCTCTGTTGCAACAGGGCTCTGAACTGGCCCCCAAGTATATGATTTTGTTAATTTAAATACTCCTTAATCATATTCATTGTATTTTTTTACAGAGCTTACTCAACTCGGGCTGTGGCCGCTTCCTGGTGGTTCTTCACTTTGATTCTGGTCTCCTCTTACACAGCTAATCTGGCGGCTTTTCTTACAGTGGAGTCCTTAGTGACCCCGATTAATGATGCTGATGATTTGTCAAAGAACAAGGGTGGTGTTAACTATGGCGCCAAAATTGGAGGAGCCACTTTCAACTTTTTTAAGGTGAGATTAAACTTACAAACTTATATCTTATAGTAAGGGAACTTTTATATTTTAGGAATCCAACTATCCCACCTACCAGCGGATGTACGAATTCATGCGGGATAACCCTCAGTACATGACCAACACCAATCAAGAGGGCGTAGATCGCGTCGAGAACTCCAACTATGCCTTTCTCATGGAGTCCACCACAATCGAGTACATCACAGAGCGTCGATGCACACTCACCCAGGTGGGAGCGTTGCTGGACGAGAAGGGATACGGCATAGCCATGCGGAAGAGTAGGAAGATTAATATTTAATTTCATAGTACACCTTATAGAGATCCCCCATTCCAGACTGGCCGTACAGGGACACACTCAGTCAGGCTGTTCTGGAGATGCAGGAGCAGGGTCTGCTGACCAAGATGAAGACCAAGTGGTGGCAGGAGAAGCGCGGCGGGGGAGCCTGTTCGGTAAGTGACTTGGTTAATCCCAATCTCTGGCAGCTGGTGCATGTGTGGGTGTGTGCAGGATTCGGATGAGGACTCCGGCGCCGTGGCCCTGGAGATTAGCAACCTGGGCGGCGTTTTCCTGGTGATGGGAGTGGGCTCCTTCTTCGGCATCTTTGTCTCCCTGCTCGAGATGGTGTTGGGCGTCAAGGAGCGCAGCGATGAGAACCAGGTATCAGCCAGGATGAATTTCAGCTTCCCTGCCTTACGATCCGATTAGATGGCCTGCCTATATAGCACAAACACACATGTACAGTGTACACTCGAAAACATGCACTTAGATTTAGCTTGCCACATATCCTTCGAAAACCCACAGGAAGCCCCCGACTCGGATGCCTCCTCACTGGGATTCGCCAACCTGGGCGGCGTCTACCTGGTCATGTTCGTGGGCAGCTGCTTTGGCAGCGTTTACGGCCTGGTCAACGTAGTGGTCAGCGTCTTTTTGAGTGCGCGGGAGAACAAGGTAACGCGGCAGGTGCTCTATAAATATTTACACCTGTGTCGTGACTAAAAATGGCGCTGAAAAGGTCGCCCTAATCAGAATAACGGATTCGTTTCATCAGCTCCCCAAAAACGACAACAAGGAGCCAAAAATACATCTACTACCTAATCAACTGTGTCGTCTTTAATATTTAATTTTTCTAATGTCATAATACTCAGTCTAACAATACCTTATTCACGAATGCTTTATGATAGATACTTCTGCATGTTATTTTTACGTGACTGCCCATAAAGAGTTATTTTAATAATTTTGCAATCGTTTGGACAGGTGAACTTCAAGACCGAGCTTATAGACGAGATTCGCTTTATACTACAATGCTCAGGCAATACCAAGGCCGTCAAGTATCCGAAGAACTCTTCGCGTTCCAATGCGAGTTCCAAATCAAAGGGGTCATCCATGTCCGTGGATTCATTGCCCGAGGATCCTTCAGAGGATGAGGCATCTGGCAAGCATAACCATGCTAAGAAGTAGTTTTATAGAAAAGACACCAACATATTATGCTTATTATACCCGAAATTTTACGTTTTATAAAATAAAATTTTGAAGTTCAATAAATGTTGAATAAATCAGGCAATGTGGAGTCTTTAGTGCTTGGCTATTATTTTTCAAAGTTAACTTTACATGCAGAAAATATATTTTAGAGACATTTTCAATAATCAGCTTATCAGTTATTTGTTAGAGATGGATATTTCAAAAATCCTCGCCAAGGGCTGCCAGAATGTCAAAGTTTTTCTTCAATTCGCCTCGTCCGAATTCGCTGTATACACCAGGTGGCGTGTTAGCAAACTGCTTTTAAGAGGGCTATTATAGATGGCGTATTAGCATAAGCTGCTCAGTTGGTGCTACCAGATCGTTAAAATTATAACAAGAGGAAGAGGAAGACGGATGGCGCCTTTATTCAAGAATTTGAAAAATGTTGAACTATTTTAACTGTATAATGGAGAAAGAACAGAAAAGGACGAGAAGGAAAATTTGAAGTTTGGTTTTATTATTTCTTTGTAAAATGTTATCAAAGAACTGTTATTATAGGTATATGATCCATGTGAAAACTTTTTTATAGAAATAAATCAACGATAACTATAAAGAAAACCACAGTTTATTTTCCTTTTGCATATCAGTATATTTATCGATTTTGCTCATATTATCGGGTGTCTTGACACATATTTTTACTGATACATCCAATATATTGGTAACTTCCTTGCGGAAATACATTTAATGCTTTTTGTTAGACACTGAGATGTTGAAAAGGTAAAATTGTACGAAGTTTTTGGTTTGTAGGAGTACGGACTGCCCATGTTTCCTCATGTGGGTCTGTATATGTTGTTTATCGTGTATAAGTTGTATAATAATACGAATACCATTACCTATATTGCAATGCGCTAGTTCTGGCCACATTCACGCACACACGCTCATGCACACGTTTGTTAATTTATTTTGATTAAACTTCATAACTTTAATACCTGATCATTACAGTTTAGTTTTAATTAGTTTAGCTATAATTGCATAGTTGTATATTATCTGTTTTCATATTATATTTCGAGTGTTTTTGATTTTTTTTATCCCCTCGTCATATGCAAATTGCGACAACATTTTCAAATTCAAATTTAATGCTCAACATTTAACTACACAAACAACGGAACTCATCGCTTAGACTTAACCATCTAAATGAAATTTTGTTAATTCACTCTAGAGTATGGATTTTGCATAATTAATTTGCTATGTTACCAACAATTATCTATTTTTATTTATTTATTATAAATGTTTTCCTGCTGATGCAGTACATCTTTTTTTTGGTTTGTGGTTGTCGAAAGGCTAGCGTTATCATATGTTTGTAATACTTTCGCGATACTAAACGCTGGGGAAGGCAGGCAGATAAATAATATATATTTAAAAGCGTTCGTAATGATTGGGGTTGGGGGTAAATTAACCGGCAATCGGAGGCTGTGAAGCATATAATGGACAGGCAAACAATTGTTCGACTAATTTATGCACTCAATTGCACTTTCATTGATAGCTGCGGCTTTTCGAATCTGTTTCTGATTTGCCTATATTCAGATATGTATGCACTGTGTATCGGTGGGTGTGTCAGTAGAGTTACAGTGGAAAAGAAGGGCTTCACCCTTTCAAATTGCCACCTTTTGGAGCAGTAAATAAAACAGATTTTCCTTCGAAAAAGAACATAAATGAAAATTGTGGGTTTCTAGCTCTCGTAAAAAGTTGTAAGCTCGTCTAGGTTTTCCTTTGGTCTTTTGAATTCGAGTGTTTGCATTATGTCCTTGAGTCGGGGGATTACAAAGCTACAAGGTATGTACAATGTACAACAGCAAATCCATGAATACACACATCTCAACTGAATTTATGAAATACACATTTGCATTTCAGGTTTGTTTGCGCGTTGCAGAGGACTTAAAGCTGAACGTTTCGATACACACATAAAGCATTTACTTCTTACTAATAGTAATGGTAATACTGGCTGGGTAAAACTGGAAATCAACAATAGGCTATAGGATATGATATTTGGTGTTTCCTTAAAAGGTGTTGAGAGTTCTCGTATTTGCTCACATCGATTGGGAAAGTTTCCCTTATATTGTCTAACTAGGTAAGTAATACATCTAGGCGTGGGTCTATTTAATATAATCTGATACACTTTGGTAATTAGTATAACATTCCGCTAGTGGCTAATCGACCAGTTCTTTACTTGGGAAATTAATAAAAAATGGTGGCAAAGTCAAGCCAAAACAGGGGGTTATCAATTTGTCATTAGCCATCTCCATTCAATGCTCCCTATCAACTGCTGTAGATTAGTGTGGTTATTTCACATTATATGTATATATATTTCTTGGTTTATAATACTAGGCTCAGTTTGTTGTAAGTAGTACATACAAATTACACAAAGTTTGATTTTCATTTGATATTTGTTCATCGTTCTTGAGCGCTTCGTTCACTATTTTATTTTTATAGGTAAATATCTTGTGTCTTGTATTTTGTATTTTGTAGGTTTTACATTGTATTCATCTCAAAAGTTCATTAAAATAAATGCCTTTTAGTTTGTTTGCTGGCACTTTAGTGCCGGAGAGTATCCAAGTGTTTGTATCTGATAATGTAGTGTAAATAGTTCCTTGTTCAGTTGGTGGTGGTAGGTGGGTGGTGGTTGTTTGTTGGGTTCTGGGTGTAGTTAGTTAGTTAGTTGATTAGTTTGTCTTGGCTTGCCTTTGAGTGTTGGCTAGAAGAAGGGCCGAAAGAGATTTGTGAAAGGCACTCCCATCCACTTGCCGCGGAGGAGCTGCAAAGAAGCTGTTCGGAAATTTCTAAATCACTCCGGAACCACTCGGAAATTCGCATGCGAATTCAGCGCACATGCATACACATCTCGAGGTCCCAGGTCCTTAGTCCCAGGTCCCAGGGTTCTGCCTTCGTGTATGCCGCTGTTTGTATTGGTATTGCTTTTAGTTTTTGGGCCCTCTTAAATGACACTCATGCGACGCCTGCCATTTCCGGTGCCCTCGGCTCAGTTGGCGTTGGCCAGCGTTTCGTGGCACACCTCCATGTAGTCCGGATCGTGCATGATGCCCTTTATCATGTCCTTCAGCATTGTGTAGCGAGGAAATATCGGATACATCTTCGAGCTGCCGTACTCTTCCTGCGGGTTCGGATGGGGATAAGCGGATACAATGCAAAGTTTTCGTCGCTTTCACTCACCTTCAGCACTCGGATGAGGTGCCGCAAGCCCAGATACTTTTTCAGCAAGCGGTACAAGTCGTTTATAAGCTGCGTGTTCTCATGCTCGATTTGGGCAGTAGTCATATCTGTGTGTCATAATTTATAAATTTTATATTATCTTCAAATATGACTAACTTCTTATCTAAAAATTTAGTTGGCTTTAAATATTTTTAGATTAATCATGCAATTTAATGTGTTTTTTCATGATAAGCTTTAAGTACTATGTACATAATAGTACATAATATTCAAGTATTTATATTTTATATTTATTTTTATAGTTATATTTAATAATCAAATGTTTTGTGGGTGGTTAGCTGACTGCACTCACGTTCCAGTCTCTCCATCCGCTCCCGCCGCTCGGCCGCCTCCTCTGCCAGGCGGGCGGAAGTCTTCACCCCCTCGCCGGACTTCTGGGTCTTCTCCATGATCGAACAGGCCCGCATCACGTAGCTGGGCACCGTCTCCTGCTTCTCCTGCCGCGGGATGTCCACCAGGGTCCAGTACTGGGTCTCCAGGCGGATGACTTCCTGCAGGCGAAATAGAGCGAAGTTATACAGATCCAAAAATTTGAGGTAACATTTTATTTTTAACTAGTTAGCCCATTGAATTAAATTGAGGACATGAAATATCATAAGCTAAGCTAAAGAAACTAACAAAAGGTTAAATAAAATTCGGTGTTGCATTGAATAGCAGTTCCTATCAGCTTAAGAATAAGCAAAAAACCCATAATAATTTAACACAAGCACGAGGCATTATCAATAGATTGTCTTGCTTCCTCAAAATCGTATTTATTCACAGTAGCAATCCATCCGTGTAACTGAATGTATCTTCAATCTGCTAGAGGTATTTATTCACTGCCTTACTTAAAATGTTTTGCAGAGCATGAGTTCTGTTTTTTAAAGTAATCATATAAATGTGAATATTTTGAACATTTTGATAATGACAAGAGTGAAACAGACTGACAGAAGTGGCTACATTGACTCAAAAATATAATTACAATAATGCTAATCAAAAGCTATAGTATTATGCATTGATAAAAAGTTTTTTTTATTTAAAACACAACCTAAAGAAGACAGTTTTAAATACAGAAATGTTTCTCCCACCTTTATCATCAGCTTGAGCATGGGGTAGCGCTGGAAAATGTTGCGCTGGCTCTTCGAGTCGCCGTACTTGTTCATGAGGTTGATCAGGGCCTTCTTGGCAGTTTCGTAGGACTCCTCCAGACGCAATCGCAGGGATCGCAGGCGCTCGTTGGTCTCGATCACCTCGTCCCGCGTCATTCCACTGGGCGCCCCCTCGTCCTTCACATCCTGCACGATTCGCCGCACACTCTGCGTGAATTTGCCCACAAAGTTTGTGGTTGCTGGGTGGCAAAAGAAAAAAAAAGCAATACAAATTAAACGATAAAATAATTATAATTGTACGGAAATTGCACGAAACACTGTCATTCATTATTCGAAATGTCAGTAGACACGCGCATTAACCCTTAATCAATCTGCGATTCATGCGGAAATTATTCGACTATGGGAAAGTCAAACTATTATGCCTTGATGATATCGCACACATCTTTATAAAAATTACATTCTCATATCGCCGACCGCGCTGGGACTCGAACACACAACCAATTTTCGTTTCTGATTGCGGGCGCAACGCGCTACCCGCAGCACCACGGCCTCTATCAGAAAATATCTGTCTTATGTTCGCTTTGGTTGCGTCGCTGTTTAAAGCATTACCTTCCTCCCTTCATGATACAATTTTTTTTTTATAATTTAATTATTTATAAAAATGACTAAATATATTAAATCACAAGCGATTTTAGTTTACTCTAAAAAAATCACTTAAGCTAAAAACAACTTATGATATAAATATTAATCATACTAATAATTACTAGATGTTTTTTTTAGAATATAATACTATGAATTTCATTTTCAAACATATACTTTTAAATTCACAATTTTAAAATCAAATACATTTAATTTTAATTTATTAAAATTTTTGTATGATTAATTTTACATTAAAAGTATTAACATTGATTTGAAAAATGGTGTGGTTTTGCTAAGATAAGATATTTTAAACTAGAACTTGAAATTCATTGTTCTGTGATTAAATGATGTTAAACAGTTTATGAATGTCTTCACATTCTTAAAAAGTCATAGGATTAGTAATATAATTTAGTTAAAACCGACAAAATTTTCATAGGTTGTTTAAGTCCTAGTGCCATCATAAATTCCTTTCAAAAATGTTCATTTTAAACAGACATCAAAGTATGTAGGTTAATTTGCCTCTTAAATTTTTTATTGGTTGGTGGGTCTTCATTTTCACGACGCCAATAATTTCGTTCCCTTAATGAATGGGAAAACTCCAGCATCAATTGAGCGCTGTTTAATGGGCTTTTCGTTGAGATGTTGAAAAGTGCAATTAGCATTCGTCATTGTCAGTCCGTTTCTGCGTCCGTAAAGTCATGGAAACGTGACATATTTCTGTTCCCGATTTGAGCCGTGGGTCGTGCCTTCAGAAGGGGCTCGCTGATGGCTTTTTCTGGCGGTGACTTAAAACAGTGCGAATTAGTCGAGCGCTACATGTAAATGAACATCGGCTTTCAAGCGCGCCAATTCATAATTAGAAACCCAACCATCTGTGGATTCTGACAGAGACATTCCCTTATGAAGAAAATGCACTGTCAGTTTCCTGCTGTGAATCATAAACACCCGCACAAAGAACCCGCATTGTGGGTGTCTGGAAAACTTTAATAGCTAGTGGATTTCCTACGCTCAAGGACTTTGCCCCCTGACGATGATCGTGACGTACTATTTGCAAACTTTGATCTGTCTGCTGATATTATTTAAGATATTTCAATGAGTTTCTTAAGAGAACTGCAAAGAGAAACGCCTGTATCCACTCTCTCAGTTTGTAGTATTATTTACCCAGTTCGGTTCGAAGTTTATACATATACTGGTATACCAGAGAATCTCTCATCAGTTGTATGTCGAAAATCTCGCGGTAAGCATTGCTCTGTGCCGATCCGCGGAAAAGCATAAAAGTCACTCAAAAATAAAATACAAAAAGCCAAAAACTCATAAAACGTGAGCATAACAAATGAGAAATTCAAACAAAGAGGCGAAAACATATATATAAACTATGCATATACACACCGCGCCAAAAAAGAATCGAGCAAAGGCAAATCGCCCATTGAACTCAAAATTATTCTGTTCAATTGCTGAAATTAACAGAAAAGAATAAAGCTCTTTACGAACTGTTATATCGAGTGGATTTTAAAGTGAAAAGTGGGATCGTGAGATCGTGAGAGGGCAGCCATATGTTCCATCTCCTCAGTCGGATTTATTGGCTGCGGCATGAGCATTATGTGGCTGTGCTCCTAATTGGTTTATTGGCTGGGCAAATTTAGCCGATGGCCATCGACTGGCTCTCGACCAGTTGGCTTTTTCCTCGGCTGGCGCTTTTTGCAAGTGCAGCAAAATTCCAGATAAAAATCGCAATTAATCCAATACATGTTTGTTTTTTATCCCTCTGCTCACCCGCCTGTGGTCTGATTTTTAATTCAAGTACGTCTTTATTTACCCTCCGTTTTTGCAAGGCATGCATAAAAATTTGAATTTCCAAGAACTTTTTTTTGTTCATGATAACATTACTGGCACTGGAATTTCCCTCGCGCTTTTAATCGTATAAATACTTTTATGTTTCTTGATAACAATTCTTTAAGAACAACAAAGATTAACGTAATACGTTATCGATGACCCCTGATATTTTTTAATGAGAAAAATACTGGAGTTGTAAAAATATTTTAATTACTCTTTAGAAAAAGTTATAATCTCGTTTAAATGAACTTAACTCTTTACTTTATTAAATTAAATTTTAATATTCTTAAAACTTTTAAAAATATTTTTTCAAAAGTATTCCATTTCCCTATATCTGAAGTTATTTTAAATGCTTTCATTCCTTATTAAATTAAACTTCAATAATCTTAAAACACTTAACATTTTTTCAAAAAATTCCATTGTGATAAATGTAAGTTCCAAATTAGTTGGACTCATTCTGAAAAATGGTAAAAGCTTGACTTTCACGATTCTGAAAACCATTTATAAAATGTTTATGTAAATTTTATTTACACTATCAGGAGAGTACAATAGCCATAAAACGAGTTTCTAAAGTTATATAATAATTGATCTATTTACTCAGCTACGCCTTAATCTAGACAAAACAACGAGTAACTTATGATCAAACAGCTTCTCAACAAAGTGCATACGTTCAAAGCTAACAAGGCGATATGCAAAGTAATCAACAATTGTATTTAAGTATTTCGCTTATTATCACGATTGTCATTGATCAGAACAGTTGTTTATAAGGGAAAAAACGCCTTTTAGCCAGTTAAACTCGTTTTGCGGACCGTGAAAGTGCAGAGCTCAGGCTCCTGGGACAGAGTGTTGTTCGAAAACTGGATCTGTCTCAGATCTTTACCCATATCCACTGGCAAAGGCAGCCAGACAGAGGACCCTCCATAAATAAGCCGCTTGCTCTGCTTCACTTGATGGCCGACTGAACAGATGACAGTTCATACCGTAATACATCAGTGTTTAGTGGTATATGGGTTGATGGGTGGCTGGGTGTCTGGTTGGCTAAGTTGGCTGTTTGGGTTGGGTTAAAAACTCTCTCGACCTTCCCGCTCATCCCACTGATATCAGCGAAAACGACAAGCAGAGTTTGTTTGACTGCCGAGCGCGGCGGAGAGGCGGCTAATGAGCAAAACGGCTTTTGTTTGTCTTCTTGGCCCCAAAGTTCCCCAGTCGACGCTCTTCGGGCTTCCAGCCAAGCAGAGTACCTGCGTAAACCAGTTTTTTGCTAATTTGACAAAACACATAAGCAAAAAAAAAGCGTCGACATATGTAAGCTTTTTTTCGGCTCAAATATGCTGTTTGTCTTTGGGCTCTGGCTGCTTCTTTGAGAATGAGTTTGAGAATGGGACTAAGAGCGAGGCAAAACAACACATAATTTGGCCAACAGCAAACGAAACGTGTCGTTGCCGCTCATTGTTTTCATTGGAGCTGAAAGATACTGAAAGTATCTGAAAGATACTTTTCGCTACGCACATAATTAAAGCTCTGCACGTGTCCGCATCTGAGTGAGTGACCTGCGAGTGTGTGTGTGTGTGCCCTTTTGGAGCACAAATATTTCAAGTTCAACATTTCTTGAGCAAGGGAAACCCCGGCTTTTGTTTGTTCTTGAGCCCCTATTTACCTCGGTCTTAATTGTTGATTTCCTTTTTCTCTTAATTTTGCCATTTTGCTGTTGGCCCACAAAGCCTGTTCTTTATTCTGTTTATATGTTGTATTTATTCTGATTCAGTCAGTGACGTCGTAGAACCCTTATCGGTCGCAAACTTAGGGAATTCCAAGATACCTGGTTTTACACCAAAAATTACTCATTGTGAAAACACTGGTCATGAATCTTAAGTTTGAATGACTTGCCCATGGCTCATTGTGGCCACTTTCTAGAATGCCCGAGGTATTTATCAAGAAAATATTCATTTTCTAAGTCAGCATGTGTAATACATTTTATAGCAACAATTTACCCTGCAGTCTGGCTGGGATTAAATTTCTCCAAGCCCAAAACCACAGGCACGCGCCGAGTATTAAGGTTGGGTGATCACATACTACATTTATCTTTCCCACGACTGTTGCGGTTGTCACTCTCACTCTTACTCACTGTCTTAGAATTGCGGTTAGTGAAATCATAATTTTCATGATACACGGAAGCCAGGAAATTCCTAGTTTTATGCACTCACAGTTCATTAAAAGGTTAATTTGCATGCAGTAAATAGTAATAACCATCAAAGCTTTGATGCATGGTTTAAGCCAAGCAGATATTAATGTGGATCTGACGTAATCGCATTCAAAACCAGTTCGATTATTTGTATAAACCATTTAATGGCTTATTCTTGTTCATCTTTTTTTAGCTCTAAACATCACACTACCTGTCAACGACCTTCAGTTTTCAATCAAAACATACAAGACGTTTTCAAGCACTTAAGAAAAACGTCACTTTAAATTGGAGTTTCTCCCTTGAGAGCAATTTAAACAAAGCATTGCAACAAATTACTGTAATTAAAACGACAAATTAATGGTTTTGAATGGGTGTTGAGTTAAAAGCTCAAGTTACGTCAGTAAGTTGTTAAGTCGATCAACCGCAGAGCTAATACCCTAACACCTTGAAAATAAGAATTACATATTCTCTGCTAGGCAACACATTTATTTTTTTTGTGCAATTGAAATTTGTTTCCGACTTTAAGAAGCTGCTTTTTTATTGTATAATTATAATATCATTCAGCAAAGAGTAAAACCACTAATGACCTTAATTATAATAAAGTAACATGTGCCATTTCAAAGTCAGATCTAGGTAGCGATTTATATATCCGCTGGCTAATGAGCATCAGTAATTGGTTGTACATTGTACAGATATAAAAATGATTAATGGGTACAGAGTACCAGAGTGCTCAAGAAAAATATCATAAGCTTTTTGGTCATGCTCAGTGGGCTTGATGGCTTGGAGCCTTAAATATGTCGCAAGCATGAGATCATATAAATATATAAATTCCAAGAACAATAGCTTCACCAGACTCTCTCTCAATTTTTCTTGCCAACCCAGCTCATCGCAATTACCATAAGCCATTGTCTGCATTGGGAATCCTGGTGGCTAATCACACTAAATTAAGCTGAAATGCGAATGAATCATTGGGGAGCTTGAATTTATTTACCGATTTTCGGCAAACGCAATGCCTGCAAATATTTGACTTGTTTGTCACACTCGATTACCGCTGACCTTCCGCCAACGGACGTGGATTTGTATGCAAAGGGCGTGGCACCGCCTCGCCCATCAATAACCCGAACTAAACGTCTCGACCTCGCTAATCCTAGTGGCACGTGCTTATTACCACTCCCCATGGAAACCCGAAACCCGAGACCCCAAACCCAAAAACCCCATCCCAAAGACCCCCCAACCCATTCGCAATCCCTCATCCCGAAAACCATCGAGTTTGCTCAGCGTGTTTTAATTAGTTCGGGTTTTGGCAAGGACTAGCTTCGCAGGGAAAACGCTTTCTGTTTGACTAATTGGCCGCATTTTGTGAGCGCGTGTCTGTGGGTGCTTCGACCACGCCCACTGCCTCCCCGTCAACGCCCCCATCAATCATCGAAAAGTCGAAAATTTCGACACGCCCCAGATTTATTGAAACCGTGCAACGTGCCCGTGCACTTCGGGCCAAGTTAAGTGACAATTGCCAACTGCATTTCCCAGTTCAGGGGGCTGAGTCATTTGCATTTGGACACCTAATCTCTAGGTGTGGTCCATAATAGATGTATGTTAATTTAAGACACGACCTGACAATAATCCGCATTAGTCACCACTAGGGTGTTTTGACAAATGTCACCTTAAATGGAGCATTGCTTATTGATATATTGTGGCTAATGAATGGGGGAAATTAGAAATGCTAAAGCTGTGTAAATGTTTTCCATGTAGGAAACAATAGGAATTACGCAATGTTTTTTTTCTCGAGAAGTAAATAAATGAGTCTCACCTGGGCCTAAACCACCTTGAAACTCCAAACTAAGTAGTTTTTAAGCCAGCATTTTTAGCTGGTCATTCGGACAAGACCGCAAGTTGGCCAAAACACCTCAAAATTGTTGAAGTCTGGTGAAAAGTTTGTGGTCATCCGACATTCGACCACAGATACCAACTGAGTTTTGTGGCCCCTCTAAATGGCTCAATCAATAAGCAGCCACAATTCCAGGATATTTCCGGTCAAGTTTTTGGGGACTTTGATTTGCCCCATAAATTCCAGGGCCCAAATGGCAGCTAAAGTTTCAGTACAAAATGCCAATTTGTTGTGCTGTTAAATTGAATTGAAGCTTCGAATTGAATTAATATTTGAAAATCATCAGCCAGAAGTTTAATGGCGAAGCCGGATGGCTGTCTTCTTTTATGCCCCAAAATTTAATATGCACTACGGGGCAATGCTATATAAGGCCACTTAATATTTAATGTATGAATGTTTTGTGGTGGCCGGGGGGCG